CCGTACTAACTTACACATACTACTAAATATACTTAGTAGTTTAAGACAGTAGAATACATAGGTTAAAAAATACTAATTACTAGTTAAAATTTAAACCTGCAACAACGTTCATCATGTGGAAAAATCATCTGTAAGAAATCACTTATATCACAGATAACTCAAGTAAAACAACACATGAAAATAGTAAATATTGAAGTTCAACATCAGTACTTTGTCTTCCATCGTATCGGTTTGTAAAGCATCACTCTTGTTCAGCTGTCGCTGTCACTTCCAGAATCACTGAGCTGTAGATCTTCACCTAAAGAACAGGATGTGATCGTACAAGTTACTTTACATACAGAAAGACTTCACCTAAAGAACAGGATGTGATCACACAGACACACAAACTACTTTACATACAGAAAGACTTCACCTGAAGAACAGGATGTGATCACACAAACTACTTTATATACAGAAAGACTTCACCTAAAGAACAGGATGTGATCACACAAACTACTTTACATACAGAAAGACTTCACCTGAAGAACAGGATGTGATCACACAAACTACTTTACATACAGAAAGACTTCACCTAAAGAACAGGATGTGATCACACAGACACACAAGTTACTTTACACAGAGAAAGGAGGCAACAACATAAACATTAACAATTAATTATACATCCATACACAACAACTACAAGATAATGCCAAATGACCCATCTTGGTAAACACAACAACTACAAGATAATGCCAAATGACCCATCCTGGTAAACACAACAACTACAAGATAATGCCAAATGACCCCATCCTGGTAAGAATTTCCACAATCACAATCATAAAGTGCAGAAAGCATGAATTTTTAGCATTTCTAAACCAAGAATATCTTTAATGTTGAACTGTAACAGTAAAATAAGAGGAGGCATGATTCCAGCATGGAAATAAACAGCCTACTACTGTACGACCAACTACCAGTTGTGCACCAAAGGTAGAGAAGAAAGTTAAACTTTCTGTTATAGAAAGTAACCCAAGATTACATCAGCTAAGGTAGAAATCTCTCCTAGAAATATGAATAAATAATAATCATATGTATTTAGGCCTACAAGAGCATAAATTTCTCCAAAAGAACATAGCCTACTACTTAATAATGTACAATATGTCAAAAGGAAATATGTTATCATATTGGCTGAACCATCTACGTCTGGATGATTTATTATAATCCTTTTGGTGATAAATTACAAATAAGGTAGTTGCAAGTTACGGTCACAACGGCAAGTTAAATATCCGGAGAGTCAAAAACAAATGCCAAAGAGAACTCTACATACAACAGCATTAAACCACAAAAAAAAGGTCATCTTTTTTATGAATACCAATAAGGTGGGACAAAAAACATCCAACCACCAGTCCCGATCAACATGTTAGTTCCTCCGAAAGGTAAAAGTAACAAACATAAATTCATGATATACCACTTCACACGTCACACAGGAACATCTGTGATTGAGGATGTTAACGTGGATCTTTAGAATTCATAATCCATCCATTATAAATGAGCTCCAAAAAGCATATATAGAAAGAAGAAAACAATAATGATCCTACAGTATTGTGCAAAATCCTCCATCATTGGAAACTACACTGCAGAGCAACAGCCCATCATAGGATATATAAGGAGAGGCTGTAAGGCCTAGACACTCGTCCTTTTTTTTTTTAAACCATAGATAGCAAACATACTTCTGTAAGTAGTAATAAACAACACACTGAATTGTTAATTCTTAGAGTATTTAAAAATTCTGGAAGGTACAGTAAAAATATACATTTCTTTCAGTAACTTTCAAATTCTGCACAAATCGTAACAATTACAGTGACCTACCCTTAGAAGTGTCATTACACATTATTAAAAGTCTGTTAACCTAACCTCAGAAGTGTCATTACACATTATTAAAAGTAGGTCTGTTAACTACCCTTAGAAGTGTCATTACACATTATTAAAAGTCTGTTAACCTACCCTTAGTAGTGTAACTACACATTATTAAAAGTAGGTCTGTTAACCTAACCTTAGAAGTGTTATTACACATTATTAAAAGTAGGTCTGTTAACCTACCTTTAGTAGTGTTATTACACATTATTAAAAGTAGGTCTGTTAACCTAACCTTAGTAGTGTCATTACACATTATTAAAAGTAGGTCTGTTAACCTACCTTTAGTAGTGTTATTACACATTATTAAAAGTAGGTCTGTTAACCTAACCTTAGTAGTGTCATTACACATTATTAAAAGTATGTCTGTTAACCTACCCTTAGTAGTGTCATTACACATTATTAAAAGTAGGTCTGTTAACCTAACCTTAGTAGTGTCATTACACATTATTAAAAGTAGGTCTGTAAACCTAACCTTAGTAGTGTCATTACACATTATTAAAAGTAAGTCTGTTAACCTAACCTTAGTAGTGTCATTACACATTATTAAAAGTAGGTCTGTTAACTACCTTCAGTAGTGTCATTACACATTATTAAAAGTATATCTGTTAACCTACCCTTAGTAGTGTCATTACACATTATTAAAAGTAAGTCTGTAAACCTACCCTTAGAAGTGTCATTACACATTATTAAAAGTAGTTCTGTTAAGCTAACCTTAGTAGTGTCATTACACATTATTAAAAGTAGGTCTGTTAACTACCTTCAGTAGTGTCATTACACATTATTAAAAGTAGGTCTGTTAACTACCTTCAGTAGTGTCATTACACATTATTAAAAGCAACTAAGGGTAGGTTAACAGACTAGTGTCATTACACATCCAGTAACTGACAGCTAGAAAAACTACCTCAGTAGTTAACGGAAAAATCCAGATAATATATGACAGCAAGTAAACATTCATGCTCCACTGTATAATGAATTAGATAAGTATCATCAGATAAAACAAGTGACTTACCACGATTACATCAAAATATAACAATAATTGGTCTGAAACCCACAAAAAAAAAATAAAACTTTCCAAGTTTAAGAATAATTTTTAAAATTTCCCTCACTTTGACCTCTTTTTAAAATTTTTAAACTTTTACAGTTTCACGGCCACCTTGTAAAGTTTAAATTACATCAAATTGGAAAGCATAAGAATCACAGCAGTATTTACAAATTCCAACTTACTAAGTTGACTAAACTGGGGCATGCTGGGAAGGCTGGGACTGGAATGCTTTTGCCCGACATTAGTGTCACTTCTAATTCCACCTTTTCCTGTAATTAAAGAAAAATATTTGATATACAACAGACTCGTCAAATGTACAAGTAACAAGTTATTTGAAATCGAAAATGCCAATAACATAAGAATGTGATTTCCAGTACAAATAGTATAAAACATGACTTTGACCATAACTTCATGACGTAACATCACACATAAACTTTTACTACATATCTATCATATAAATTTCTCTCAACTAAAACTGTATACAAACATGTAGACAAATGTATTTGTAGTTATATGAACAATAGAGTGTCGGTACTACATGAAAATTACCTTACACTATAAACAGAGCAATTAACACATGGTACACAGACCTAACTTTGTTTACTTGGTCAATTTTTACACACTAATGAGCTCCTATATTACTTGAGAAAATGTTTGTATTTAAAAACCACAGCAAATGGAACATATTAACATAAAACTTTAAATTAGAGAAACTGGTTGCAAAACATCTGTGCATCCTCTCAGTTAATTTGACCCCCGATATTTGAATTATCTTAGGGATACGAGTAGTAATAAAGTTGTTCAGTTAGAATTGACCTCCCAAGGTGTTGAAATTAGGGACGATTTTTATTAAGCAATTCTTGACGTGCATCCTCTCCAGTCTCACGTTCTCTTCTGGAAGGAAAACTAGTTAATTTGACCCCTGATATTTGAATTCTCTTAGGGATACGAGTAGTAATAAAGTTGTTCAGTTAGAATTGACCTTCCGAGGTGTTGAAATTAGGGACGATTTTTATTAAGCAATTCTTGACGATTCTTTTATGTAGTTCTTCATATTTTATAAAATTCTTGATGACTCGGAACTGATCTGATGGCCAGAATCTCTCATATGAAGAGAGATGGCACTGTTTGTCTTTCCATACTTAATAGTTTTTTTCTTTTTTTTATGTTCTGAAATTCTCATGTAATCATTACTTCCATCATCCTTACAGTATTGACATGGTATAATATAAAGGCTTTGTTGTAGAATCATTACTTCCATC